CTGAAAACTTACCTTTCTCCTGATAGTATGGGGCATTAGTCAATTTAGTAAGAGTAGTTTTGATATCATTTATAGCATGAGTGGTTTGATTATTGAAGTTAGTCTGATTTTGCATCAATTGAGATAATACATCTTCAAAAATCTTCTTAGGGGGTGGAGTGTAGGGAAAAAAATTAGAGGAATTTTGTTAAGGTATTTGTGATGCATGATTTTCACTCTTCTAACTAAAATTGGGGTATTTTTCCACCTAGGGTTGTATGTATTAAAATAAGGGTTGTTATAAGACTTTGAAAAAATATTCGCAACATTTTCTTGATCATGTAGGACTTCTTTTAAAATGGGAATTGTTGGACACTCCTTTATGGGGTGTCCATGGATTTCACAAATGCTGTAAATTTCTTTAGTAGGAATAACATCAATCTCATTAACTTTTTAAAATTTCATAGCCTCAACTCTCCTAGATAATGTAGTAGTTCTTGCCCCTAGGTCATCATCATCTCTCAACTGGTACTTGCCTCCAGTTGATGAAGAATTAACATTCCTATTCTTAAAAAGTTCTTGGGACATAGTATCCTAAGACTATGCATTCTCGGCTAAATAATCTAGAAAATCAAAGTCTCATTTGGTTCCTTATTCATAAAATCATCATTACACATCATTTCTATAAACTGGTGCATTTGAGGAGTCAAATCCTTATAAAAAAAACTTAACACACGTCAGCTCTCATATTCATGATGTGAGTAAGATGCAATAAGATTTTTAAATCTATCCCAACTTTAGTAAAAAATTTCAGACTCTTTTTGAGAAAAATTTATGATTTGCCTTTTAAAAGAGTTTGTACAATGTGTAGGGAATTTTTTTTTTCAAAAATTCCTTATGCTTCTTTGACCATGTGCCTATAGACCTAAGTCTGAGATGATGCAACCAAGTCTTAGCTTTTTCTTTTAATGAGAAAGGGAAGAACTTCAACCTGATTGTATTCATAGAAACAGTTTGATCATGAAATATAGCACAAACCTCCTCAAAATCTCTTATANACACACATTAAAAATATTGAGTTTTAATATCATATTACTAAAAGATAGTTCCATCACATCATTCCTGCAATTAATCAAAGCATTCAAAGTAGCCAAGAATGGTCTGCCTAATATGACAAGAATTTGAGGATTAGAATTTAACACGGGTTATATATCCAGAATAATAAAATCCACAAGAAAGCAAAAATTATCAATCTGGACCAAAATATCTTCCACCATACCCCTTGGTATTTTCACTGAACGGTCAGCCAATTGAAGTATAACCGAAGTGGGTTTCAACTCCCCTAACCCTTATTGTTCATATACTGAATAAGGGAGCAAATTCACACTAGCTTTCAAATCTAGTAACGCTCGTTCAATTTTATGATTGTCAATAACACAAGAGATGGTAGGACAACCAGAGTCTTTATATTTGGATGGAGTCCTATGTTGAATGATGGAAGATACATGCTCAGTTAAAAAGGTCTTCTTTTGCACATTTAATTTCTTTTTAACAGTGCATAAATCTTTCAAAAATTTTGCATAAGAAGGTATTTGTTTTATAGGATCCAACAAGAGAATATTGATCTTAACCTATTTAAATATTTTCATCATATCACTGTACATGTTTGGCTTGACAGATGTAAGTAATCTCTGTGGGAATGGGGCAGATGTCAAATTCTTCTTTGGTTTAATATTTTCAGACTGGTCAAGTTTATCACCACTCTCCATAGGTTTTGAAATTTCTTCAGATTCTTGAACTTTAGTGAGAACATTTTTATTTATTATTTTTCCACTATGAAGTGTGGTGATAGATTTAACCTGCTCATGTACAATATCAGAAGTACCAATTTCATTTACATTAAATTAACTCTGCGGATTAGGTTGGAGTTGAGCTGAAAACTTACCTTTCTCCTGATAGTATGGGGCATTAGTCAATTTAGTAAGAGTAGTTTTGATATCATTTATAGCATGAGTGGTTTGATTATTGAAGTTAGTCTGATTTTGCATCAATTGAGATAATACATCTTCAAAAATCTTCTTAGGGGGTGGAGTGTAGGGAAAAAAATTAGAGGAATTTTGTTAAGGTATTTGTGATGCATGATTTTCACTCTTCTAACTAAAATTGGGGTATTTTTCCACCTAGGGTTGTATGTATTAAAATAAGGGTTGTTATAAGACTTTGAAAAAATATTCGCAACATTTTCTTGATCATGTAGGACTTCTTTTAAAATGGGAATTGTTGGACACTCCTTTATGGGGTGTCCATGGATTTCACAAATGCTGTAAATTTCTTTAGTAGGAATAACATCAATCTCATTAACTTTTTAAAATTTCATAGCCTCAACTCTCCTAGATAATGTAGTAGTTCTTGCCCCTAGGTCATCATCATCTCTCAACTGGTACTTGCCTCCAGTTGATGAAGAATTAACATTCCTATTCTTAAAAAGTTCTTGGGACATAGTATCCTAAGACTATGCATTCTCGGCTAAATAATCTAGAAAATCAAAGTCTCATTTGGTTCCTTATTCATAAAATCATCATTACACATCATTTCTATAAACTGGTGCATTTGAGGAGNGAGAACATTTTTATTTATTATTTTTCCACTATGAAGTGTGGTGATAGATTTAACCTGCTCATGTACAATATCAGAAGTACCAATTTCATTTACATTAAATTAACTCTGCGGATTAGGTTGGAGTTGAGCTGAAAACTTACCTTTCTCCTGATAGTATGGGGCATTAGTCAATTTAGTAAGAGTAGTTTTGATATCATTTATAGCATGAGTGGTTTGATTATTGAAGTTAGTCTGATTTTGCATCAATTGAGATAATACATCTTCAAAAATCTTCTTAGGGGGTGGAGTGTAGGGAAAAAAATTAGAGGAATTTTGTTAAGGTATTTGTGATGCATGATTTTCACTCTTCTAACTAAAATTGGGGTATTTTTCCACCTAGGGTTGTATGTATTAAAATAAGGGTTGTTATAAGACTTTGAAAAAATATTCGCAACATTTTCTTGATCATGTAGGACTTCTTTTAAAATGGGAATTGTTGGACACTCCTTTATGGGGTGTCCATGGATTTCACAAATGCTGTAAATTTCTTTAGTAGGAATAACATCAATCTCATTAACTTTTTAAAATTTCATAGCCTCAACTCTCCTAGATAATGTAGTAGTTCTTGCCCCTAGGTCATCATCATCTCTCAACTGGTACTTGCCTCCAGTTGATGAAGAATTAACATTCCTATTCTTAAAAAGTTCTTGGGACATAGTATCCTAAGACTATGCATTCTCGGCTAAATAATCTAGAAAATCAAAGTCTCATTTGGTTCCTTATTCATAAAATCATCATTACACATCATTTCTATAAACTGGTGCATTTGAGGAGTCAAATCCTTATAAAAAAAACTTAACACACGTCAGCTCTCATATTCATGATGTGAGTAAGATGCAATAAGATTTTTAAATCTATCCCAACTTTAGTAAAAAATTTCAGACTCTTTTTGAGAAAAATTTATGATTTGCCTTTTAAAAGAGTTTGTACAATGTGTAGGGAATTTTTTTTTTCAAAAATTCCTTATGCTTCTTTGACCATGTGCCTATAGACCTAAGTCTGAGATGATGCAACCAAGTCTTAGCTTTTTCTTTTAATGAGAAAGGGAAGAACTTCAACCTGATTGTATTCATAGAAACAGTTTGATCATGAAATATAGCACAAACCTCCTCAAAATCTCTTATATGTAGGTAAGGGTTTTCAGAATCCATACCATGAAATTTTGGAAGCAATGCAATCATACCAAGTTTAAAAATAAAATTTGTGGCCTATAATGAAAAATGATGCATGAAGGTGCAATATGACGTGCAGGTTACAAATATTCACGTAAAGTCCCACCTTGATTAACATTAAGATTATAGACATCATTCTCATCATGATTACTTATTCTGTCATCAGGATCATCGTGTTCAAGAAAATTATTTGTCCTATTATTATTAGGATCTACAGCCATTGTGTGAGTTGTATGATTTGAATCAGATGAACCAAATAAATTTTCAAATAGAGTATTTAAGTCTTCTCTTATTATACGTCCACTCAAATCACGATGCCAAGAACTCATAAAATAATTTTAAAAAACGATTAAAAACAAAAAACAAAATTAAATGACAAAAAGAAAATAAATTTCAGCAAAATAAAAATAGAACGAAGTTACCGGATCTCCAATGAATCGTAAACCACAAAAACCTCAATAAATATAACTGGTGGCTCTTTGTCTTTCAACAGTTCCCTGACAACGGCGCCAAAAATTTGCTACAACTTTAAATATGTAAACTCAAGTATAAGTTGTGCGAAGTAATATATACTCAGAAAACCGAGGTTGAACCCTCAGAAAAGTGTAAAAACAATAGTTGTCACACTAAATCTAATAAAAAAACTTGTAAAAATGTTTCTCAAAAAGAATGTTTAAATTGGTATAAGTAAATGAATTAATTAAAATAATATGTAAAATACTAGAGCATTAGGTACATCCCCTCAAATTCATACAGTAATGATTAAAGACTTAGTTTTCAATCTCAGACAAGAGTCGATCCGTCAACTAACTCCATTTAGTGAATTTTGCAATGAGAACAAAAAAACACTACTATTTATAACCAAAGGTTTATCCAAAAAAAATAAAAAATCAAAGAACTGTTTGTCAATTGTAAGTATTTACTGTGCCTAGAGTCTACAATAAATCAAGCTTTCTCAGCAATCAAATTCCTGACTTAACCACACAATCCTCTAGCTATATTATTATGTGAAATAAATTGTAATTAATTTGAGCAATGAATAACTAGTTATTTGTCTTGCAAAAAAATTCAAGTAATCAAAATATAAGACACAATGACTCAAGAATATTTACAGAACACAAATTTTACTAATAATTAAAAGTTAATTTAACAACATACAACATACTATTAAACTAATAAGTCAATAACAATACCGTACTTCATCGAAAAGTTCTACTTTAGCCCTAGTCAAAAAGTCTAGCCAGATATCCTAAGCTTCAACCAAAAATAGAACAAAAATATTTAAAAAGTCGTCCGTTTACATCATAATGATTCACCTATTTATATTTTCCTAGTCCAAGAAGTTTGATCACATTCTACTTTTTCCTCCAAAATCCCATCTTTCAGAAACACGCGCCTAAACGCATAGTATCAACCGTTCGGACGCACTTGGCAGTATGATCCCATTCTTCAAAGCACGTCCATCTTCTCATTCTGCCAACTCTGTCCGGACACAATAGCAATCCCTTGTCTGGAGGCGCATTCCAGTAAGTCTAACTCAGCTACTCTTCTTCATCCACCTTTATCTCTCTAATTTTTTTAATCATTTTCCTGCAAAATAAACAAAATTCCTCCATTACTATCATAATAACAAATCTTTAATAAATCATCACATTTACCACCTTTTTTTGAACAAATGATTAATATTCTCCATCAAATAGTCACATTATGGGATCATAATCAACTATGGTTTCTCTAACTTGGAAGTTGGATATGTCGAGAAAATTTGAAGCAGTTTCAGCAACCACCAGATGCCCCAAAAGACAGACCAAAAGTAGATAAACACAAGTAAATGAACTAAGAGTGAGTGCCCAGACTTTTGAAAATAGAAATAAGAAACATGTCTGTGACTGTGAGTAAATAGACTTCAAAATTATTTACAATATTAAAGCACTGATCATAGATAAGCCCAACTTCAAGGATAATGGCATGGCCAACTTACAATGATCCTCTCATGAATAATATTTCCGGCCAACATAATTGAGTCTCGACCTCTTGCTTTTCACAGGTGTGAACCAGTTTGCTCCATTGGCTATCCTGGATCTGAGTTTCTTGTATTCTCTTGACCTCATAACTCCCTCAAAAATATTTATATCTTCACAGATTTCATGTCTAGATAGAGACGACAGAACAGGTAGTATGTCTCTCTGAAAGTCTTTTAGCCTCCTCCCCCTTCTCAACTTAATACCACAGTCATTTTTATCCATTTCGTTAAATTCTAATGCCTTTGATGAAACACAACAGTCATCCACACTGCTTTCCCCCAGCTTCAGCACAAGGGATTCATAGGAATCCAAAGAATTCTGTGGCTGGTCCCTCTCCTCATTTTCAACCTCATTTGATCCTGTCTTGGTAATGCAATCTTCATTAGTCGTTGAACTATCCAAGGACATACAAATAAGTGATAAGGCTGCCTTCTGGATCAAAACATCCACTTCTGCTGATTCTCCTTTCTTGTCCCAGCATTGGTGTTCGCCCTCATTACATGGAGTTTCTACGACTTGAGAAGACTCAGAACTTGACATATTTAAAGGAAAACTATTTTCTCCCAAATCAATTCCAGACTGTGTGGCCTTCATGCTACTTGAATTCTCATCATGAATGATATTGAGCTTGCATGAGCCAGGAGATTGGCTACTAAGTGAATCTTCACCTGTATTTTGACTTCTACATTGATGCAAAAACAAACTTTCGTTCCTGTTCTCATTCCCACAGTTTACCCCTGGCATGGCTACAGCTATAGCATTTCCATGCTGAAAATTTAATGGCAAGTCTAGATTTTCGTTTTTGGAGAAAGCACTGCGGTTACCAGGGTCTTCACTAAGGTCAGATGTGGGCCCAGACATGTTCTCAAGCTCTATAGGGGATGCTTTGTTTCCTATAAGAGCCTCATGTGTGGTATTGGTTGCCCAAATATTCAAATTACTGTTTTTGCTGTTGCACTCCATCAAGGCAACATTTTGTTGAAGCAAAGTAGAAGTTTTGCTAGAGTTGTCACCACTTGATCCTTTAACATCATGAAATTTTCCAGTTAATTCATCAGCATCACATGATGAGCTACCGGTTGAAGGACAGGCCATGACGGGGTCATTCGAGTACAATTCAATAGGCTGGATGCTGTTGAGGTCCCAACGTGCTGTTTCATAAGAAACAAACACTTCGCCCTTGGCAGACATATCATTACATGGTATATGACCAACAGATTCGTTAAATCCTGCAGAACGAACCAAAAGAGTAGCTGAATCACAATTTAACGACATTCATAATGATAGCTTTGAAAATCTACAACTAATGCAGCATAAACAACTGCCAAACCTTGATTGGTGAAGGTTTGCTCCTGACAGCCTTTACTTGTGTCTACAAAAGAATGAGGAATTGTAATCCCATGAGATGGATCATTCATGCAATTTGTGAAGCTTGGACTAGATTTTACAGAAACCTGTGACTCATGCCTATCTCCAGAATAAGTGGGCGGACCAGCACAGTCAAGAGTAGACACAGGTATGGCATCCTCGTCTGAAGATGTTTCTGTTGATTCCTCTAAATCAATTATGTGCTGCGAGGACAAATAATTAATCTTGTCAGTCCATGTTGTCCTGCCATCATTCTTTTTCTTACTGTCCCCACCAATGCTTAGGGAAAGCTTCACCTCCTCTGGAGAAGATGCATTATCACCAGCTAAGTAATGCTTTAGTTCTGCAGAATTCCTCAGAGAGCCCCAATTATTTCCTCTAACAGAGTAACTGGCAGAAAGTTGAAGGTCCATTGGCCTCTGCTGAAGTCTAGGGAAGATAACTCTGGGTTCTTCTTCACAATCGTTGTTTCGAGACTGTGTTGAACCTATCTGCAAGACATGGGAACCCCAACATTATAAAACAAGAACATAATTAATTTGGACTGTCGCTACTGAGACATGGGAACAACTTGCCAGGAAAGACACCATCAATCCAGATCAAGGGAAACCTATTATTAACATGAGATGGAGAATCCCAAAGTTCTAGATGAATTTATGCTTCAAACGCACAACACATTGAAGGACATCAACGTTTACCATGGGAATTTCGGAAAATGTTTCCTCTGTTGCTGGTGGTGCATAACTTATCTGATTTGTAAAAGGACCCAGGATGGGCATGGGTGCTGTTCTGAAATTGTATGCATTGAACTCGTCCCAACAACAGTCCCTCATTAGGGACTTCTGTACCCCATACAAGCGGTGGAGTTCATAAACCTGAGAAGAAATCAGTAACAAACCAAAATAAGGATATAAAGTCATGTGCTTTCATGTATAGCCCAATAATTCATCTTTCAGTATGAGCCTTTTTTTAGAGAGTAGATGGTCCCACCAACTTAAAGGTAGACTAATTGGATTATATGATATTATATGTGAATAGCAAGACAGAACTCTGTCAATCATCCGCTAAAAAATGTTGGCCCTCGTTAAATTGACTGAAAAATAACTTTAAAAAAGTTGTGTGGAAATGGGCACATGCCTGCTTCCTGAAAACAACTTCATGATTTAGAATGGTCTGCTTGTAGACTTCTTTGAGTGAGCGAGTGTCTCTTTGCATAGAATTCATATCAAAATCTCCTCTCATCAACATATCGTCCTCAGAAAAATTTAGAGATTTGTGATCTCTAATGCTAATTTTTGCTTCCCTACGAGTAATCAAGCCTTGAGAAGATCTTTCATACTGTATTTTAAGCCCCATCTCTGCATGGTTTTTGTATTACATGCCTGTAATGAGATAGGTAGTGTTAATAAAATGTCTAAGGCCAATCAATCTAGAAAATGTATATACATCCTCATTTCATGCATATTATGAAGATATTCCCACAAAGGAATTAGAAAACAAGTAATGGCAAACAGTACAACATTAGTGGGATCTCTTTATAATAATGCTATATTTAATTGGCGAAACCTACAATGACCATATCTACCAATAGTATAGTACCTGTGGTGGGCATTCCCATTTCAAACAAACTTTACAGTTCTCTTTCTAGGTATTTCATTTCAATTGCCCTGTTTTATAACATACAAACTCTCACCACTCAAAGCACGGATGAATCAGTACACAAATCAGAATGCAGTAACAATGTTCACCACCTTTGTGAAATAAGAGTTAAGAACAGTTATTCAATTCAACCAAAAAAATTGAGCATAATCTACCTTCCCATTCGATAACATAACCATACACAGTCACACAATTATAAGAATAGTTGGCACCAAGAACATATGTTGGATTTACACAAGCCGAATTGCTAATCAAAAAACATGCTATGATGAAGTGAAAATAGAATGCTTCCGAGCTATGCCAGAATTTACCATACATCTGCTGTGAAGTAACAAAGCCAAAACATATTGCTACACTAATATAATCCTAGAATTTCATGAGGTAATGAATGAAAATCATAATCCATGAGTGGGGGAAATGGTTTCTGCAGCTTGCCAAACGGTACATTGAATGGCAACAAAAGAGAGTACAAAAAAAAAACATGTATTAATTACATGACCCGGCCATGATATGTCTTGACCCCGAAAAAATAAACAATGTAATATTAAACAACACAAATCTGTCATTTCTCTGCTGTTTGGCAGGAAGGAATCTGAGAGAAAAGGAAAACGAATATCAAAATGAATAGTCTTTTTTTTTTCAATGGTAAGTTAAGAGAGGAAAAATTTTTCATTTTCCAGAAACAAGATTCAGAAAAATCCGAAATTTCTTCTCTTTTTCTATATTTGCCTTGCAACCAAACGGAGATCAGAACCAACTTATGGATCCAGCTACTTTGCAGAGAGAGAGAGAGAGAGAGAGAGAGAGCATAGGGAGAAAATACGCAAGAAAGGAGGATTAACCCAAATGAGACAGAAAAAAAAAACTTGTAATATATGAACAAGTAGGCAGTAAACTCCAACAAATCTATTGACCCAAAAAAGAAAAACTCCAACAACTCTCAAGAGAGAGAGTATAGCCGCCTGCTCATATTAGTCAAAATCCATCCAGCTTTGGAAAAACAAGCTCTGTATACAACAATTATACATATGAAAATTTCGCACACATAAAAGAGAGAGAGGGGCGAGAGAGAGTACCAGGAGAGAGAGGAGGAAAAAAAGGAGCATTCTCCCATTTAGTTCAGACCAAACTGCTACTCACAGGCCAGCGCACCATAAAAACCACGGATTAAAGGAAATTGAAGGATGTAGAGACATATTTCGTTATCCCAGAAGACCAATATAGGTAGATAACTAGAGAGAGAGAGGGAAGAGAGAGAGAGAGAGAGAAGATATTGGAAGAATCAGAAAGCTAGGGGACAGCGAAAGAAAGAGATAAACTGTACGTTGGTGTTGAAAACTAAAGTGGGCAGTTGTGTGTGTGAGAGATTTTATCATTTACGTTTACCACTGCATCATTTATATTATTCATATTCATACCCTTTCTCTTTCTGGCTGGTGGCCTATCATATAATAAAGTTCCTGTCTCTTTCTCTCTTTCATGGGTCTTTGGGATTCTCCTCCCCCCCTCCTCTCTGTCGCTCTCTCTCTCTCTCTGTCTCTCTCAAACTATCTACCGTTTCCTCTCTCTCTCTAAAATTTTGCACTCGGGATTTCTTGTATAAAGGCGATCTGTCAGAGTCAGACCCACTGCAAAAAGATCAAAAAAGAGCCAATTGCATTTGCCACTCATATTTACCCTTTTGCCCCTTTGCCACTCTACTTTGTGTTGTGAATTGGTATCAGTTTGCCTCTGCTAAAAAAAATATATATATTATTTTTTGATAATTGCTTTCTGTTATGTTTTTTTTTTTGTTGAGAGAGAATTTGAACTCTTAACCTTAATAAGGTAAAATTTTCACAAGATAAAGAGTATCATTAGAACAAAGACACATTAATGTTTTCTATTATGGTATGGTCATGCATTTCATTTCCAAATGGTGGAAATTAGGGAATCATTATTATAAGGGTTAATGGCCGGTGTTAAAAAATATTTTCTTTACAAGTTGTCTATAGAATTGAATTTTTTTTAATAATATATTTTTATTTATCACATTTATAATTTTTTTTAGTATATTTGTGAGTACTTTTATCATTGTTTATGATACTAAAAAATAATAAAAATAGTTATTACAATTGTGATATAAATATTCAAAAATGTGATAAATTATCCACAAAAATGATCAAAAAAAAATTGCCCAAAAAAATGATGAAAATAATTGACATAAATGTGGTATAAACACCTATAATAGTGATAAAAATACCTATAAAAATAATAAATTTTTTTATTATAAAATGATCTACAAAAATTATAAAAATGCAAGTATGGTATTGAAAATTTGTTGAGAGTATGATTTTTTGGAAGTATGATATTATTTAATTTATTAATTTGGGTCTAACAAATCGTATCACACCGAATTTGTGTCTTTTATGAATGTGTATAACTAATATATAAATAAGATTAGTTTAAAATATAGCCGATTCACTTATTAATCCTGTCTAATCAGGTTCATTCGTTTGCCAAACAAATAGTTTAAAAAATACTTATATCTTATAATTTTGTATCATATTTTTAATCATGTTAATCGTTCTTGTCACATATTAACACCCCTGCATTATTGGAATCCGCCTATGACCATGGACTGCCGTTCTAACGGAAAAAATATTTATTATAACGGTGATATTATATAATAATATAGCGTGATATCACCAATTAATAATATCAAAATAAATAAATGAGCCCTTTTAAAATTAATAACTAATCCTCCATGTAAAACCATCTCCAATCCTTACCCCTTTTTAAAAAATGATAAAAAAAAATTCTTAAAAATCTTTTCCAATACTAGATCTCCATACCTATACCAAACTGAAAGGAAATCTTTTTTTTAAATCAAATTAAGGGATAACCTTATTTAAATCTTAGTCTTTAACGGTGAGATTACATTATCTTTTAAAGATCCATTTGTCATATTTTATTTTATTTTTTAATTTCAATTTATACTCATTAAATTTAAATTTATCTTCATTTAAATTTGAATTTCTCTTCCTTTAAAAAAAGTTTGTTCATTTGAGATATCTATACCAAATCAAACTTCTTATCTTTTTTTTTACTCAAATTTGAATAAGAGTTTGGGTCTTTGTTAGAAATGCTCTAAAAAGTAAATAACTACTCACTTCTTTAACATGTAAGTAAATAACTAGGTAAGAGAAAATTTATTTTACCAACTTAATATTTTATTATTAATTGACGATACCACGTTAAGATTCAATATTTACTCGTCTTAATGATAGGGGAGCTGCCTAAGGAATGGGACCGATGTCCCAAATGGGCCATGAAAAGTATGTCCCACCACATTTTTTCTCCGAATAGTTAGATGGGTTATAAGATTCATGGGCCGTGATTTTTGGAGCAGCTAGACCCTATGAGTTGGTCCATTTATGGCCTGCTAGCAAAGTCCAGAGGACTAGTCAACGGTCCAACCCATTAGTTCGTCAAAATTTATATCTATATTTATACTATTTATAAATGTCACAATGTGTAAAAAAAAATGTAATTTTTTATTTTATTTCTAATTATTATAATAAAGTCAATTATATTCACCTACATATTTTCATCTAATTTTTATTTTTTACTCATATTTGACTTTCAACTTATTTTAGACTTTTTTATGACGATTTTTAAATTCTTTTAAAACTCATTTATTAATAATACAATTATATACAATTTTCTATATCTATATGAAAAAAGTAAAGTCCTATATATGTTAAATTATTTTATACATGAAGTTACTAGATTGAATTTCACCGTCAAATAGATGTTATATATATATATATATATTTTTTTTTTATTTATTTATTTTTTGGTATGTAATTATATAATAATATTATAAGTGAACTAATCAATCTATTTAACAAAATAAAAATTAATAATTCTATAATATAATTATATGTACAATTGTCAAAAAAAGTCAGAGAGATACCTAAATAAATAACAGATTATGTACTCAAAAACTTATAAAATAGATTAATAATTAAATTTAGTAATAATTAAAATATGGATTAATTATTCGGCACTTAGTTTATTATTTAATTTAATTAAATATTAATTCACATTTTTTATAAAAAAATATATTTTAAATTTATTTACGTGCAATACACATCGTTGATAATATTAAAAATATAAGAAGAAAGATTAAAAGAAAAGATATTGAGATTGGCTAGATGGTAAATGGACCCCAACTACACAACCGCTTGGGGCGTGGCCCAGAAAGATCGACTATGAGCCTATGCGACAAAAAGTGTGTTAAGTGTTAAAGACGAAATAAAGACCAAAAAAATGAATGATTTATCTCAGTCGAATGATTAAGACTACGTCTATTATAAAAGAGACTCTTGTTTTTGGAGAATTATATTATTTGGGAAAGAAGATTGTTGCTATAGAAGGTTTTTGCTAAGAGTTTTTTACAGAGTATTTTCTAAGTTATTGTCGATAATCTCTATTTTTTCTCTCTGACATCGTTTTTTATTTATATATCTTATCATTAAGGTTTCGCAGCGGTTTCTTTTTTGATTGATTCTGTGGTCCCTTTTTCATTTGTCTTATAATTAAACTTGTCATTCAAATATTTTTTTATACCAATTAAGCCTTGAGCGGAATACATGAGCGATCTCTTTTATCAGTAAATATCGGTTCGTTAAGGNTCACAAGATAAAGAGTATCATTAGAACAAAGACACATTAATGTTTTCTATTATGGTATGGTCATGCATTTCATTTCCAAATGGTGGAAATTAGGGAATCATTATTATAAGGGTTAATGGCCGGTGTTAAAAAATATTTTCTTTACAAGTTGTCTATAGAATTGAATTTTTTTTAATAATATATTTTTATTTATCACATTTATAATTTTTTTTAGTATATTTGTGAGTACTTTTATCATTGTTTATGATACTAAAAAATAATAAAAATAGTTATTACAATT